ATTTTCCTTTAAAGGTTAAAGGTGAACCACCTAAAAATACAAGAGAAGTGGCTTTGGATCTTGATCTGATGTCCTATAAAATTAAAGATCAGCGTATAACCCGATCAGCCTACAAACAAATTCCAGAAAAACAACAACAGCAGAGGTTTAAGCCAGCACAAGGCAAGAAAAGAAGCAGGTTCTACAAAACTAAAAAATTTTAGACCAATATCTCTTTTGAATATGGATTATAAAATTTTTGCAAAACTATTAGCCAACAGATTAATGCCAGTTATCTAAGAGCTAATTCACGATGAAGCAGGATTTATAGAAGACAGATATATGAAAGATAATGTGAGGCAAATTATAGATTTATTGGACTATCTTGAGAAGAATAAACAGATCCCTGCAGTGCTGGTGTTTTAGGATGCGGAGAAGGCCTGTAATCGAGTGAATTGGAACTTTCTATTACAGACTTTAAGAAAGATGGATTATGTGTACGTTGAAGGGAATAGCTATGAGGCAAGAGGATTATGGAATAAGGGCACTTGCAGTTGATCTGGTTGTTACCCTAACATGGTCGATGGAACTAATAATCTAGATGAAACACTTTACAGAAGATATCATACGGAATATAAATATAAATATAAAGTCACTCGGGGGGGGTTATATATAGAAGTACTCTTCAATGATGGGGGCAGATGGCAACTAAAGACATTAAATATACTGTTGGAAGAAGGATTTGATGTAATTGTTTAGATGCTATAAATTATTATATATGGTGGTCCTGCGGGAAAGTGGATGAAACAAAATTGATATGGTATACGGTGATAGGCTAAGTTACTGATTGTTCAATATTGGAAAAGGGATGTTATGTTTATTATAGAAGAATGGACTCTGAAGGTGGCCAGTTTCGCAGAAATGGCGAAGATATCAGCATACATAAAAGACTGGACCCAAGAGATCTATGTATGGGAGTAGAGGAAATGGATAGATTATGTGTAGAATAAATATTAAACTAGGAAGTATCAGATAACTTTTAGTTGAATGTTGTGTAGAAATGTATAGTATATAGGGGATAGAATACTAGAAGGTCAGGAAGAAATGTATACTACACAGGGGGTAGAGTAGATGGGCGGTAAAGTATTATATAATGTGATTTGGATTTGGATTTCATCCTGGGGAAGCCATGGGGGGAGGGGAGGGTAAGGGAGGGTTAGGGAGGGAAAGGGGAGGGAAGGGGGGGAAATTTGTATTTGTAAAACTTTTTCAATAATAAAAAAAAAGATGTATAAAATACAAATAAATAAGTAAATAATAAATAAATAAATTGAAATCCTGGTCCCAATTGTAGTCATACATTGAGGACTATCTGTATCTGAGCCCTGGTGGTGCAGTGGTTAGAATGCAGTACTGCAGGCTAATTCTGCTGACTGCCAACAGTTCAATCCTCACTGGTTCAAGGTTGATTCAGCTTCCCATCCTTCTGAGGTTGATAAAATTGTTGGGGGCAATATACTGCCTCTGTAAACCATTTAGAGAGGTCCGTAAAATACTGTGAAATGGTATATAAGTCAAAGTGCTATTGCTATCTTCAATTTTGGGATGATGAAATTTTGGCTTTAAAACTCCTTAGACAAGGAGTTTGTTGCTGTTAGTTGCAAAGTGGTGTCTGACCCATTGCGACCCCATGGACAACGTTCCTCCAGGCCTTCCTGTCCTCTACCATCCTCTGGAGTCCATTTGAGCTAACGTCTACTGCTTCAGTGACTCCATCCAGCCACCTCGTTCTCTGTCGTCCCCTTCTTCTTTTGCCCTCAGTCTTTCCCAGCTCTTCTCCAGCGAGTCCTTCCTTCTCATTAGGTGGCCAAAGTATTTGAGTTTCATCTTCAGAATCTGGCCTTCTAAAGAGCAGTCAGGGTGGATCTCCTCTAGGACTGACCGGTTGGATCACCTTGCAGTCCAAGGGACTCACAGGAATCTTTTCCAGCACCAGAGTTCAATGGCCTCAATTCTTTGGTGCTCAGCCTTTCTTATGGTCCAACTTTCACAGCCATACATTGCAACTGGGTAAGGAGTTTACATATACATTAATTGGGGAAGGAGTGGCAATACATCTCTGCCTAACTCCCATATGTACAGGAATTGGGTTTGATAATAGGCCTTGTAGGTCATATCATATTTTAACCTTGGAATTCTCTGATCTCTTGACTAGGGCCCAACAACTGCCATCAACCTCTGCACTGATGCTGAATTTAGATTACTTGGTAGACTCTTGAATAGTGCAACTGCTTGTCTTTTCATAACTCTAATAAAAAGTTGGGGAGTAATTTATGGCTTTATAGCACAAATATGCTAGTAGGTGGGCTGAGTTATGACTATGGTCTCTGCTGGAGGCTTATTTAGCTAAACTATGGTTAAAACAAATCATGGCATAGCCCAATGAATGAATTCACATTGCTAGGAATGTTTGGGCAGCATAGTCCTTAGCTATGATGTTGTGAAATTTGGGCACTAGAGTGACAATATATTTGGGGAACACTGGAGGAGACATACTAATGATCTGAATAACAAGTTTCTGAACTGTATATCAACTTCAAAAGTACTGCTACAGCCAATGCTCTGTCCCCATCACAGATCTATTTATAAAACAAATGGCAGGTGCCATGTATCTTTCATTCTGTAAGATAATTCACACACGGGCAATCCACTGGAAGTGACCAAAAACATTGACCAAAAGATGTTCTTCTTTTAGATTTGCAGGGCAATCATACTGAAGCTTTTAAAAATAAGAAGAGAAAGGAAACTCAAACAAACAGCTCAGCAGTGTCAGATTCTTGGGCACTTGTGACTCAGCAGTAAGCTAGGTGTGTGTGTGTGTGTGTGTGTATCTACCTCTGTCTCTGTCCCTATCTGTATCTGTATCTCTATAGGTGTGTGTGAAAGTGGTTAAAGATGCTGAACTTATCAGCTGACAGCTTGGGTTCGAGACCTGAGCGCCGCCCAATATGGTGAGCTCCTTGCCCCAGCTGCTGCCCATCTAGCAGTTTGAAAGGATGCAAATGTGAGTAGATAAATAGGTACCACTTCAGTAGGAAGGTAACAACATTCTGTGCACCTTTGGTGTATAGTTTGGACTACTGCAACGCTCGCTACATGGGGCTCCCCTTGAAGAGCACCCGGAGGCTCCAACTGGTCCAGAATGCGGCCGCGTGGGTAGTCACAGGAGCCGCATGGTGCTCCCATACAACACCTGTCCTGCGTGAGCTGCACTGGCTCCCAGTGGTCTTCCGGGTGCGCTTCAAAGTGTTGGTTATCACCTTTAAAGCGCTCCATGGCATAGGGCCTAGTTATCTTCGAGACCGCCTGCTGCTACCGATGGCCTCCCATCGACCTGTGCGCTCCCACAGAGAGGGAGCCTCCTCGGGGTGCCATCAGCCAAACAATGTAGGCTGGTGACCCCCCAGGGGGAGGGCCTTCTCTGTAGGGGCACCTATCCTCTGGAATCAGCTGCCCCCAGAGATAAGGAGAATCCAAGACCTCGGTGCCTTCCGCCGTGCCCTTAAAACCTTCTTTTTCCAGCAAGCCGGGCTGGCCTAACACTTTTTAAAATGTTTTTAATTGTCTGTTATTGTTTTTAATCATGGGGCCAAATTTATATATATCTTTTTAATTGTATTTTAATGTTTGTAGTTTATGTTTTTACTTGGCTGTTCACCGCCCTGAGTCCTCAGGGAGAAGGGCGGTATATAAATTTTTAAATAAATAAATAAATGAATGAATGAATGAATGAATGAATGAATGAATGAATGAATGAATAAATAAATAAATAAATAAATAAATAAATAAATAAATAAATAAATAAATAAATAAATAGTCATGCTGGTTATATGGTCTTCAGACCACGCTGGCTCCCTCGTATAAGAAATGGAGATGAGCACCACTCCCTAGAGTTGGACACGACTGGACAAGGGAAACCTTTACCTTTATATATATATAGTGGGAGCAACTATGACTCTCTTAAGGGGGTCAAGTTATATGGCCTCAGTCAGTGCCTCCTCATGGTGACCAGTGGAAAAGGCATGAGAGGAGTCTTGGCACCTGTAGTGTTAGGCCATCCCATTGCTGGGCCAGCACTTTGCAGGGGGTGAATCAGGGGTGAAATGCTCCCGGTTTGGCCCGGATCACCTGATCCGGTAGTGATGACGGGGGATGGCTTGGAGAACCAGTAGCAAAAATCCCTGCCCATGCCCAGCTGAGCCGCACGATCATCAGAGGCTTTCTTTTTTACTTTTAAAAGCATTTTTTTTTGGCCGTAGAAAAAATGCTTTTAAAAGTTTTTTTTTTTAAAGTTGGCCACGCCCATCCAGTCACATTACCCCCCATCAAGCCACACCCACAGAACCGGTAGTAACAAATTTTACATTTCATCACTGGGGTGAATTGCTGATTTCACCAAATTAAGAGAAAAATCTTCCTGGTCCCTCTGGATCCCAAGACCACAGCAGCAACGAGGCATCGTTGTTCCCAGACTAGTTGCGTATGTTTGTGTATGTGTGTAATGTAATATTTCCAGATTACTTGAGGAATCACTCATTGCCCTCCCCGGTGTTTCAGCTGAGCTGTCATTCCTGTCATTTTTAGCTCCTTTGGACTTTTCAATGATATGCCCTTTTCTGACAAGCCAGCAGAGAGGCTGTCAGCCTCATACATCAAATTGGCTTCCTCAGAATTATTCAGAAATCAAGGTGCCTCTCCCAAAGAAACTGCTCACGAGAGACGAGAGTGAACAACATTCCTTTCCTTTTCTCTCCCCCCCCTTCTTTTTTCTCTGGCTCCTTTTAAATTCATGATAATGAGGGCCACTTAATGTATGGCAATGGTTATCTTTGAAATATTCCATAGTTTGCTGTAAAATAGGTTTTATTTCATCGTCGTCCTTTCATTTCTGCAAAAGAAGAGGGAGGACGTTCGTTTCTTTTGTATATTTTAAGGAAAGGGAAGTACAGTCATGAAAGAGCCGACGTTAAAGCTTTTAATTTATTTTTAGTGTTTTCATTTGGTATTCCCTTACAGTATATCCAAGCTTAGTACAAATCCCATTTTTGTTCCAATTAAACAAAAGCTCATTCCTCCAAAGAGAGTTGAATCCATATGTTTTCTTGTTTATTAGAATCTCGTAGTTTATTAAGATCTCCAGAGATTTTCCAGGGTTTTTTAATTTTATTTTACTTCTCTCTTTCACTTCCTTTGAGATTTTGGTAATGATCCATTATAAACCCACGTGGACTTGTTCCAAATAATATTACTACTAATGAAATGCCAAGAAGATTCAAGTTGGACCTGTAAGGCAACATTAATTGAAAGGTCATTGGGAATAAAGGAAAATTTTCTTTAATGATATAGGATATTGAAACCAATATCTTAGCCTGTTTATTCTTTTAAGGTCACATTATGTCAGCTTTATTATGTAGAACCCATAAGCCATGTTTTCCCACATTGGTGCTCTCCAAAATGTATGGAGGGAAAATAAAGATCTATTATTCTATTCTATTCTATTCTATTCTATTCTATTCTATTCTATTCTATTCTATTCTATTCTATTCTTTCACTACTGGTGGAATCAATGGGGCTTTATAAAGCTTTATGCTTTATTAGATTATAGAAATAACAGAAATGATTCAACCTTCATCAAGAGCAATGGAAAAACCAGCCCAGAAATAAATTCCGTATCATTTAATACATAAACAAACCTGAAACCTGAAATAAATGTCTTGTTCATTCAGACACTACTGCAGTGAAGATATGTTCTTTTCTTTTTTTTTTAAAGGCAAGTATAAAATAGTTAAATATCCGTTTATTCCTTCCTGTAATATTTGTGTCTTGACTTCCTTCTTGATGATGGAAGAATGGGAGGGAGGCAACAACTGAGAGAAGATCATTCTTGGCCTGAGAAAAATGTTGCTGCTTTTCCCAATGTGCATGAATCCTGTGATTCAGTCAAGACGCCAATCAAAAGTGGAGGTTTATTCAACTGCTTGGTAGGGATGTTTGAAAGACCTACATTCAACATCAAACAGGGAAGCAAAACCAACCAGAAACTTTGAGATAACTGCTGTAAAAGATTAAAAAGTGAAAGCATTGACTATCTCCTTGAACTTTCATAGCAATCAGCAGCATTCCAGATTCAACTAGCTGTGATTTATGATGGTTGCAGTGTCCTGGGATCATGTAATCACCTTCTGACCAGCAAAATCAATGGGGAAGCCAGTTAACTTATTAATTAATTAATTAATTAATTAATTAATTAATTGGTTCAATTGATATGCCGCCCTTCTCCGGAGACTCAGGGCAGCTTACAATGCGTTAAGCAATAGCCGTCATACTTTTGTATATACCTGCTTAGTAGGGCTTTTGGCCTACTAAGCAGGTATATAAATTGAATTATATTACAGGAATAGTCCGACTGCTGCCTATATCTTGGAGGAAATAAACATTTAGAAAGCATTATGAGAAATATCTGTTGCCTTGCTTTTGCATTCAAAGGGCATTGTTTGGTGGTAACGAAAAATGGCTATTGAATCCAAGAGGAGTCTATTTAGCCCTTTACCAAGCCATCTGTGAGTTCACCAATAAATGTATTTTCTTGCCTGCCTGCTTATTAAGATATTCTTGCCTTTGCTATTACAAAATCTGGAGATGAAGTCATAAATGGAAGTCATAAATCCCAACTTTTTGAGAAATGTAGGAATCTAAATTGAAATATTGCTGATATAACCAATCTCTACTTGAACATGTCTAATAGTTCTAATAGGCTTCCCTGATGGGTAGGCAGCAGCCTGGATGCACCTCTCACATGTGGGCAGGGATCAGTGGTGAAATCTAAAATTTGTTACTACCGGTTCTGTGGACTTGACTTGGGGGGGGGGGCGTAATGTGACTGGGTGGGCATAGCCATTTTTTTAAAAAAAACTTTTAAAACCATTTTTTCTACAACCTCTTCGGCGAAGAAGTTGTAAAAAAATGCTTTTAAAAGGCTCTGACGATCCCAGCTGAGTTGCCTGATCGGCAGAGGCTTTTTTTCTTTTAAATGCCTTTGATTATCCCAGCTGAGCCACACAATCATCAGAGGCTTTTAAAAGAAAAAAAAGCCTCTGCCGATCAGGCGACTCAGCTGGGATCCTCAGAGGCATTTAAAAGGAAAAAAGCCTCTGATGATCGCATGGCTCAGCTGGGCATGGGGGGTGGGCAGGGATTTTTGCTACCGGTTCTCCAAACCACCCGCCTCCATCGCTACCAGATCGGGTGATCTGGTCCGAACCAGGAGCATTTCACCCCTGGCAGGGATGGTGACACCACAGACAGGAGCATGAAGTGGACTTGTTCCAGGCCCATCGACTGGCTGCACCTGCAGGAGGCTGGATCCAGAGACACTGTGGTCAATGAAGGGAGATGTCACAGGGGGAGTGCGTTGAATTGTCCCTCATTGAGTTTCCCACAGCGATTTGTCCCATGCCAAGATGGGTGCCGAGATAGTCACACCAAGGTTGCCATGGCGATATGTCTGTGACAAGATGGTGGTGCTGAGATGGTGGTGCCAAGGCAGTAGTGGGTTGCTCCTGGTTCTGTCTGGTTTTTGCGAACTGGTAGTAAAAGCAGCAGGAGGCTCTGCCCACTCGCCCAGATATCTAATGGATGATCTGCACATGTGCAGAAGCAAGCAAGCATGTGCTCCAATTGCAAACTGGTCGTAAAGGTAAGTAGAACCCACCCCTGTGCCAAGGTGTCATAGATATGGCCCACCACACGCCTGACATTACTATTGTTTTTACCAGTCCCAGACTGTGAATCAAATTGAAGATTAAATCTTTAATAATACTAATATAATTTGTTGCCCTCCTCTTCTGAAATATCCCTTTCCTCTCAAATTTCTGTAAGTATTACACAGTTTTGGAAAGCAATTAAATGTTCTGCCCCAGCTACGGACCCCAAAGAACGCAGCACACACAAAGTCTGTACAAACCTTAATTTACTAATTAAGGACTACTAATGAGCTTTCTTAGTAGTTGTTCGAACACAAGTACAGTTTAAATCAGTCTTTTCTGAACAAGGGCTGTTAATTTAACTTCATTAACAGCCGACAAGAATCTAAAGAATAATAATTCAATTTTGAGACACAGTATTTCAGATAACCGTAATCTTACTGTGGTTGGCAGAATGCCCAGAAGCAGTTTGCAGGAAAACTGACAAGAGATAAACAAGAGCCGAATCAAACGTTTCTGGAATCAAGACGCGAAGGAATATGAACGAAGTTGTTTCCTGCAAATTGCATCAGTCGTTGTCCTTCCTTAAATAGGCTAGGGGAGTGGCCAATTAGCCCCAAGCCTTACTCTCGAGGAGACCTCCTGAGAAGCCACTCCTGACTTTTAACAGCTCTGCACACTCGTGCATCGAGAAGAGGCTCCTCCTCTTCTTCCTCTTCACTTATGGGAGCTTCTGGAGCTTCTGAAGGCCCTGGCTGAATCCCTGCCTCTGGCACCACATCTTCTCCAGCCTCCTCATTGTTTGACTCAAGTGCCAGCTGCACAGGCTGCTGGTGCAGCACACCAGCCTCCTCACTGTCGGAATCAGCTACTAACTGCACAGGCCATTGATGGGCCACAACATTAAAACAGATTTTTTAATAAGTCTTCAGAGAGTAACACCTATGCCCATGATGGCAAACCTATGGCGCGTGTGCCACAGGTGGCACACAGTGCCCTCTCTGTGGATACGCAAGCCATTACCCCAGTTCAGCTCCACTGTGCATGCGTGCATGGCTCCCGCCAGCCAGCTGGTCATCGTGCCTCTGCTGTGCATGCATGGGGGCGGGACGTGGGGCTGCACGTGCATGCGCAGGGCGGGGATGCATTTTGGGGGTTTGGGGACCTGCACGCTTTGGGCACTTGGTCTGGAAAAGATTAGCCATCACTGACCTATCTTTGCTTTCTCTCCAATCAGTAGTACATTTTTTTAAAATTACACTGATGCTTTATGAATTTCTTTACGGTTTCACTTCAAAAAATACTTCATGAATCACCTAGAGAGGAGTAATTGGAAGGGCAGAGAAACATTGACGATGAATAAATTCCTTATGGATTTAAGTCCCAGTCCCTGAACCTACCTTATTTGCACATACAGCAAATAGCATCTACTGAATGTCTCTGAAAAAGTGGCGCCCAGAAATGGAACCAGAAATTGAGGTGGGTGAGTGCAAAATGATGAAAAATTATTAATTTCTCCAGAACAAAACTCCAAAATTTAACGTAAAACACATTCAGAAGCATATAAGAAGAGGTAAAAAGTAAAGGTTCCCCTTGCACATATGTGCTAGTCATTCCCAACACTAGGGGGTGGTGCTTATCTCCGTTTCAAAGCCGAAGAGCCAGTGCTGTCCCAAGACGTCTCCGTGGTCATGTGGCCGGCATGATTGAATGCCAAAGGCTCACGGAACGCTGTTGCCTTCCCACCAAAGGTGGTCCCTATTTTTTCTACTTGCATTTTTTACGTGCTTTCGAACTGCTAGGTTGGCAGAAGCTGGGACAAGTAACGGGAGCTCACCCTGTAATGCAGCACTAGGGATTTGAACCGCTGAACTGCCAACCTTTCGATCAACAAGCTCAGCATCTTAGCCACTGAGCCACTGCATCCCTCTCTATACATATATATATCAAATTTATATTTTGCTGATAATATATATATATATATATATATATATATTTCATACTTTTCCCAAGGTCATCACAGTAATCTCTTTGGTCTTATCCATTATCTTCCCTTCTCTGTTCCTCAACCTTGCCAAGTGGAGTCATTTTTAAAGTCCATCATTCTCTTGCATCACACATCCAATGTCTTTGACTTCCTGATTGCTGATCATTGCCTGAAGGGAGCAGTCAGTCTTTATTTGGCCCAGGACTGATTGATAGGTTCTTCTTGCAGATCATGATGCTCTTGGTAACTGTTTCCTGATCCATAATTCAAAGGGATCTATTTTCTTCCCTTGTCCTTTCTCAGTGCCCAGCCTCTACAGCCTTATATTATCCCAAGAGAGACCACTGCCTTAACTATTTTGTCATTGATCTATCCTTATCCTGCATGATCTTGTCTAAGTTTACTATTGTTTTCCTCTCTAGGATTAATCTCCCCTTTAAGATGCTGAGCTTGTCGATTGAAAGGTCGGCAGTTCAGCAGTTCGAATTCCTAGTGCCGCATAACGGGGTGAGCTTCCGTTACTTGCCCCAGCTTCTGCCAACCTAGCAGTTCGAAAGCATGTAACAAATACAAGTAGAAAAATAGGGACCACTTTGGTGGGAAGGTAACAGTGTTCTGTGCACCTTTGGCATTTAGTCATGCTGGCCACATGACCATGGGGACGTCTTCGGACAGCGCTGGCTCTTCGGCTTTGAAACGGAGATGAGCACCGCCCCCTAGAGTCAGGAATTACTAGCACATATGTGCGAGGGGAACCTTTACATTTATACCATCCAGCTCTTTAGCTCAAGAAAAGAAACCTCACCTCATTGAGCTTAAAGTTAGCAGAAGCTTCCGAATGGCAGTCACTTCATAACAAAGGTGTTTCAGCTAGGAAATCTCTGTATATCCTCATCCCCATGATGGGCAATCCCAGTTCTGAGATTGTGGAAAGTTCTTCTTTGGCAAACTTTAATCCCTTAGCAGATGCACACCAGGAAAGCCATTTCAGAAGGTCCTCTGCCATCACAGTATGATAGGTTATATTGAGATAGGTCTTCAAACTGATGGCTCCCCAGCTGTAGAATCCTCTTCTGCATTTAAGGCCTATTATTTCCCCAGGTGTCAAGTATGAATTTGTTTTAATGACTGCTGTTTTGCTGCATTTTCTTCTCCTGTTAGGTTGCTGATTTATTACCTCCATTTGAGTGGTTCTGGTTTTTTAAATGTCATTTTAGGGAAGGATTAGTAGTGCCTGAAAAACAGAACAAAATAAATAGTCTGCTTCACAACCCAGAAAAGATCATATGAAATTTATATGCCCTGCTTAACAGATGGGCCAGCAAGATTGTTCCAGGAAGAATTCTCGTTATTATAGAAGAGTGGAGTTTTAAGTTACCTGCAGTATTCTTTTTAAAGCTTAACATTTTTTTTAAATACTTATGGAGTCTTTTAAAGTCCTCATATAATTTTACAGACAACTGAATTCATGTATTTATTCGACTAGGATTTGCTGAAGATTTCCCTCTTACTTCTGGCCCCGACTCGCTGAACTCAGCTAGTGCCAACAGATGAATCAAGACAGCCCGAGTTGAAATGTCATGAATTAGAGCAACTCAAATTGAGATGTCAGACAAATGAATGTGTTTAACTCTGGAATGACCAGCTTGTTGATTACCAAGGGCTACATGGGGGACATATTGTGAGCTGAAGGCCATGTTGATTTGCAAGTTTTAATTGCATATCGTTAACAAAGCTGGCCTTTTTCATGAGCCGTGAGACAACATGTTCTTATCACCCAGATGGAAAGAGCATCATCAGTTTGCAACCTCAGTACCAGTGGTGGGTTTTAAATTTTTTTACTACCGGTTCTGTGGGTGTGGCTTGGTGGGTGTAGCATTGCTTGGTGGGCATGGCTTGGTTGGCATGGCTTGGTGGGCATGGCAGGGGAAGGTTACTATAAAATCTCCATTCCCTCCCCACTCCAAGGGAAGGATACTGCAAAATCCCCATTTCCTCCCAATCAGCTAGGACTCGGGAGGCAGAGAATAGATGGGGGCAGGCCCAGTCAGAATTTTTACCAGTTCTGTGGGTGTGGCTTGGTGGGCGTGGCAGGGGAAGGATACTGTAAAATCTTCATTCCCACCTCACTCTTGGGAAGGATACTGTAAAGTCTCCATTTCCTCCTGATCAACTGGGACTCGGGAGGCAGAAAATAGATGGGAGCGGAGTCAGCCAGAGGTGGTATTTACCAGTTCTCCGAACTACTCAAAATTTCTACTACCGGTTCTCCAGAACTGGTCAGAACCTGCTCAGTACCTAGAACTACAATCAGAACTGGTAGAAATGTCCAAGCTTCTCATTGTAGAAACTATGTAAAGAATATATTTCCATAATACGGTCATCAAGTTATAATGATTTTTTGAAGTATTTTTTTTTCAGAACTTCAGTACTCCAAGACGGAAGGCTGTAGACTGACTAATTATACTTAAAGTTATAGTGAATATTTATGGTTTTTTTAAAAAAAAAAATCCCTAAGATTTTGTATACCCTTTCAAGTGATAGCCCCAATTAAATATACACAGGAAAAATAGTCAGGCTCCAGTGAAAGTTTCAAAGCAAGAGTTCAGATTTCAGTCAAGCAGTACCAAGCGGGGCAAAATCAAAGTTTCAGCAGACAGTTTGTAATTCATCCCCACAGGGAGATGAAGCAGAAGATTTCAGGGTTCAAGGCTTAGATGTTACTTTGATGCAAGACAAATGCTTCTCCAGGAAATCTCTTTTTCCAACAATGATTATAATCCTTCATAGGAACACTTCCACCCTGCACCACCCCCAAATTCAATAATTACTGATTCTCGGAGATTGCCTGGACAAGTCCTTACAATTTTCTTGGCAATGTTTTTCAGAAGTGTTTTACCCTTGCCTCTTTCTTAAGGCTGAGAGATAGTGACTGCCCCACCCCAGAATTGTCCAGCTCTTTTGTGTCGAAGGCAGGACTAGAACTCATTATCTTTCACTGTCCAGCCTGATGCCTTAACCTCTTACACCAAATTGGCTCTTAATAGGCACCATAGACATTCCTAAAAAGTGCAGCCCATACTTTACGAGGGTGCCTATTATCCAGGAAACAACAATAATGGCAAAGTGAGCAAAGGGTACAAAAGTCTTGTTAGAAGAGGGGTTAGGAGGAGGAGGAGGAGGAGGAGGAGGAGGAGGAGGAGGAGGAGGAGGAGGAGGAGGA